CAGAAAACGGGCATGCTCACTTCCAGGGGGCGGAGCCCAAAGAGCTTATCTGACTCAAACCAATCACGAGAGGATAAGGTCAAACCCGTTCTGGATACTCCTCCCCCCTCACTATGGAGAAGACAAAGCCCTCTCTTTTGAAGACAGCAAAGTCTACTTATTAGACAGAGATGACCACTGGTTTGAAAGAGAGGTCAGAGGCCATCTATGTCAAAATTGAACAGCCCTCTCTCAACAGAGGGGGAGAAATACAACATCATCTATCTCCAGTCTACAACACAGTCTTTTCAACAGTTCCAAGAAGGCTCCATCTGAACTGCTCAGGTGACCCTGACAACACAAATAAACCTTCAGGTGGCCTTAACAACTCACTTAAAGAATGCAAATGATCAGCTGCTTGCAAGGAGTATATTTCCTTCCATTCCCCACCATCCAGTTAAAGCTGAAGAAGCTTCTTGGATGAGAAGTGAAACATCTTCAAAGAAAAGTCCAGGTGCCTCTTGAAAAGCACCTTTGAGTTTTACTCTTAAATTGATCTAATTGTTAGAAAGCCTTGCTTTACTCACTTATTTGATGAGGAACTATTGATGAGGATTCTTTTAGTACAGATAGTCCATTGCTAAGCAACAGTTGTTAAGTGAGTTTTGCTCTATTTTACAACCTTCCATACCACAGATGTCAAGTGAACTGCTATAGTTGTTAAGTTAGTAACACAGCTGTTAAATGAATTTAGCTTCCCCAGACTTTGCATGTCAAAGATGAGCACATGACCCTGGAACACTGCAACTGTCCATCAGACAGTTAATGTTACTGCAATGATAGTGTGAAAAATGGTCATAAGTCCCTATTTTCAGTGCTGTTGCAATTTCAAATAATTACTAAACAAATTGTAAGTCTGTTGTAAGTCAAAGACTACCTGTGTTTGATTTTATACATAAGACTTTTTATACATAATTTTATACATAAGTGATAATCACAGATTTTTCTATAGGTTTTTTCTCCTAAATAGGAGGAAATTTCTCCTGAATTCGAATAGTACAAGGTATCTCAATAAACAAGTCTTTAATGGAAAATCCTTGAACCTCTAGGTCACAAACTACTGATGTATAAGATCAGATATTATAGAACAATAGCTCCACTTCACTGAAATCAAATTGTCCTTGAAAAGGTAAAAGGTCTCTTAGGAACTGAAATGAAGTTGCTCTTTTATTTGTACAGAGAAGCAGCCTTCTTGCCCCTTTTCTTTCTTTTATATATGGAAGTTTTTTTTAAAAAAAGTCTGCTATTTAGTCTTGGAAGGAGTGGGGATGGATGGAAAAAAATTACATGGACCAAAATAACGAAAGTCAAGCAACACCATAATCAATGCCATGATTTTGCCCTCCTTTGTCTCTCCCTCTAATCTTTTTTTACTTTTACTTTTACTTATTGTGTTTTGATAAAGCTTTACAAGAAGGAGTCCTTTCAATTCTTTTGAATTAGGCAAAATCAGATGCTAAATTTTAAATAACATTGCAAATATAAAGCAATGCCAGTTTTCTATTTATCACATTGCCCTATTTATTTTCCTACAATTGCTATTAATTGTCCATGTTTTCATTAATGCATTTCACATTTTGCCATATTGAATTTGAAATTATACCTATATTATTAACTATATTAATATAAAATTTCAATTACATCAAATTCTTTACATTTAGAATGAGTTGCAGCAGTATAATCCATACATGCACGAAGCAACTCATACAATGGCCATAAAATAACATACAAAAGAACAGTTGGTCTTACCTGAACTGTCATTCTCAGAGTCTTGCAGGAGGGTGCAGGACTGGATATTATCATGTCCAATTGGCCCAGAGACTGAGTTAGAATTAAAGCCGTGCCTCTCTGCTCTCTCTGCCTGGTTCCAGTTTCAACAAGGTTGTAGCTTCTAAGAGGACCTGAAAACAAGTCAGAGGGGAAAGGATCGCTCTTCCTTCCCCTTCCAGGTTCCTACCCTAAACTAAGACTGACTACGGACCTACATATTAGAGTGGGATCTGGACTTCAAGAACAACAGTTCAGGTAAGACCAACTGTTCTTCTCCGGAGTAGTTGGCAGGAGGGTCCAGGATTGGGACATACCATAGCTGTAGTCCCTTAGGGAGGGTCTTATTGGTCCAGAATCCCTTCAGTAGCCAGACCTGTTACAGCACCCTCCGGCCAAAGGTGCCTCAGCAGACAAAAATGCGTCCAATCGATAAAGGCGATGGAGAGACCCATGTAGCTGCCCCACTGATGTCTTCTATCAGTGCTTGGGTAGCCCAGGCTGCCGAGATGGCTGCACTTCTAGTTGAGTGTGCAGTAATGCCAGCCGGTACTGGGAGACGCTTAGTTTCATAAGCCACATCCTCCTTTGATCCACCTACCAATAGTAGAAGGGGTGATCCTCGCCCCCAAGGTTGATGGCTGGAAGGAGATGAACAATGCCTCCATCTTCCCAAAGGAGGATGTGCGTTTTAAATAAATATGCAAGGCACATCAAACATCCAAACAGTGCCACAGCCGTTCCCGATCCCTGGAGGGATCCAGGCAGAAATTATGGTGAAGGACCATCCTATTGTTACGGAAGACGCAGAAGTCCGCCCTGGAAGTCAAGGCTCCCAGTTCGGAAATATGTCTTGCTCAGGTGACAGTCACTAAGAAGACAACCTTCAGGGTGAGGAATTTCAAACTGACTGACCTTAAGGGCTCAAAGGGTTCTAGAGTGAGAGCCTGAAGGACAGTTAAAAGATCCCATATAGAGAATCTGTGTATTACCGGCGGCCATAAGTTAGCGGCCCCTTTGAGAAATCTCCTGACAACCGGATGCTGAGCCAGAGATTGAAGACTCTCTCCCTCAAGCAGTGGACAGGGCTGCCACCTGTCTGCAGACTGTGCTGTGGGAAAGGCCCTTGTCCAGGCTGTCCTGGAGGAGCTCAAGTACCTGAGGGACAGAAGCAGAAACAGGATCAGTATGGGAAGACTAGCACCAAGTGACAAATGTGGACCATGTGGCATTGTAAATCTGTGTGGTGGATAACTTCCTAGAGGCTTCTGTGGTCTTAATAACCCTGGAGGAAATGTTAGCATCCCTCAGGCGCCTCTGCTCAATCGCCAACTGGAGCCACTGGGGCTCCAGATGTAGGACACCCTGACACAGTGATATTTTTTCCTTCGGAATCCGTCACAGGGGTGGGGTGGGAAGACAGGTGCACTAGATCTGCAAACCACACCCATCTGGGCCAGTGTGGGGCTATCATGATGACTTCCGCTCCCTCTGAGATTATCTTCCGTAAGACCCCGGAAATGAGGTGAAGGGGAGGAAAGGCATAG